GGAATGCTTACAAGAACAACATCAATTAGTGAAATAATGGAAAATGGTAAGTTATATCAATTAAATGAAGGTTAATCATTGAAATGTAATTCAAACAAGAACATCAAAGATAGTCTTATAGCACGAATCAAATAGTAATAATAATATTATAATAATGAACAAAAAACCATGACAACTACTTTCATCACATTGATGAAGGTTTCAAACCCATTATTTTTATTAAAATGATGAACCAATATAAGTTAGAAAGTTATTGGGAACTACAAAGCATTAATATCATTTTGTCTTAGTACGGGACTCATCAAACGTGTGTATCCGTGACCCCATCATAGGCAGTCGATTCGAAGACTCTCGGTCTCGCTCGTGATTTCTCAACTGTCTAGAACACAGTAGAGATTCAAGAGTGTACACATTCAACTTCAATAAGTGTGTGTGATATTGCGTAACCATATTCCATTGTCTTTGGTGACTTCGTTACACGACTGATGCGACTAAACTGCATTGGGTGCAACTTCTAACCAGAACTAGTCACTAGTGATCACATAACAATCGTCAGTATGGGGTTTTGAAGAATGTTAATTTCTATTGGGATCACGAAGTTAGTCAAGTTAGACGATACCGTGAATTGACTGCAAGTAGACGACTTATATACCAACGGACTCCAACTTAGTGGTATAAAGATGTGATGTCATGGCACACAGAGTCTCCAATCATTTGTTACGATAGTCACGTGGATCCCGACCAAGTAGTCTGCATTTACCAACATGGCTAAGACTAGAAGTTAGTGACTTCAAGCACTGATAATAGGGATAGATATCTCAAAGATGATGATATACTACCCAGATATATAGTATATCATTATCCTGATTATCACCATATTATGTTATTACTTTAAAAAATTCGGATCAGTGCCATGAATCGAGCACTGAGTTTAATTCCAAAATACTAACCTATTAACACTCATTCTTTGATACATTTCAACTTTAAATCTGTAGAATACATCCATGTATTAATAATCAGATGGCTTATAGTCACCTAAAAGGTACTTTTAGGTTGTTAGATGTTATGCCATCAAATCGGTCATAATTACACAAATATATGTATATTCACTATCTGCTACGTATCAAATAATTATCATGCGAAATGCTTACATTCTTCATTATTATAATTTTCTAAATCTTAAACTTAATGTTATCTCATAACCTTACATTATGTAATATCATTAGTGTGTGATGATTATGCTTAGTTACACTTCTTTATTTATTATCTTGTTAACTTAAGTCTTTACACAATTATGTTGAAGAATAAATTTGCCCTCAAATGCCCTGGCACGACCAAGGATGGGGACAGTTAACTCTCCCTCTACAAATGCTCTCACATGACCACGTGCATACAACCCACTGACATGGAAGTACTACTCATAGCCTTCTCGCGGCAATACTGTTGTTTACGAAATTGAGAGGATGATAAGCTAATGTCCGATGCTTTAACTAGGTCGGTGGACACGGATGGTCCACCTAGAAGAGTTGGAAAACTCTCATTCCAAAACAATGGTGCACATGGGCTGGCTCCAGGATCCTAAGGAAATAAATGGCATATGAACCAATTATTGGTCATTGGCTACCATGGGACTGTAACTAATAACGTTGCTCCACTGACTTGTGGATCAGACCTTTAAGTCGAAGGCTCCGGGTGTGACTCCATAAGAAAACTACGTGGTTTGATCTAAGCAGCCGGGTAGTATCACAATCCGCACACAAATCAAGTGACTTGTGTGGTGCATATGTATTCGGTGCACCTATGTACCAATATTTATATATTTATAATCATGATGGTGATAGATATAAATCTTAAATCTGATTGACTGAAAAATATTTTTCATATTTGATCTAATAAATAAATAAAAAAAGATAATGATGATGTTGATAATTTAAAAAAAAGGTTGTTTAAAACTCTTTTTTCTCTTTCATATCCATAGATACTACTGCCACTACTACTACTACTACAAATTCTACTTATGAATGTATTCGATTAAAGAAACGTAAAACAGTGAATATTCCTAATTGTGGATTCATTCCCAAACAAATAAATCGGTATAAATTTCATAAACATAGGAAATATGTAAATCAACCATTCAAATTGACAACCAAAACAACAACGACAACAACACAACAGAATACATTAAAACGTCCAGATCCATTTGCATAGTTTCATTCCACTACTTTTTCCTTTTTTTTCTTTTTCTTTCTTTTAAAGGAGGAACTAATTTATTACACAAATGTGTATACATTTTCTTAAATAATATTTCTATCTGAGAGATTTTCTTTACAAAAAAAGGAGGGGGAAATGACAATATCACAGTTATTTTATATGTACACATTAAATATAAAGATACAATTCTTGTCATCAACACAATACTGTTTGTTACTTTTTCTTCTATATAGATATACACACTCAAACAAACAAAAAAATTAGTGAGACTATAATTCTATGGATGACCTTTGAACAACACTGAAATGACCTTATGAATGACCATCTACTTACTCCTGTTAAATGAGGTATATAGACCAATGTGAGGAATTAGGAGCTTCAGTTGATGGTTAGGATTAGGAATTGAATTCAGGGTTTTCATTACGAACTAATATTAGCCATAATTCTAAAACGCTATTTAAACAAATGCATGAATGATAAGTAAAGATGGATAGTGGCTAGCATTGGAATCCAGGACGTGTGTTTCGTTCTATTTGGGACTCGTCAGCTGGATGTACCCGCATTCCAGAGTTGATGTTCACTCTGGGACTCGAACCCAGTACCGATAATTTTTGTGCCGAAATATAAGATCTATTATCTTAAATTTGATTAGTTCGTTCATAAATTATAGTCTATCAATCCTAAAGGTAATTTGCATATAGACGAGACAGGTTGAACTCTATAGTGTTAAATAATTCAAGTTTTAATTTTTATCGTTATTGGCGAAGCTTGGATTATTTAACATTGTAGAGTTCAACCTGTCTTGTCTATATTCAAATTATAAGAAGGGGTTTTGTGGGGATTTTTAGAAATTTCAATGGTTGAAATCATGAGCCAATTGAAGCTAGACCACCATGGGGAACTTGAAAGCTCTGGATGGCCGTTTCGTCCTAGTATGGGACTCCTCAGCAGTGCGCGTCCACGATCCCGTCCTCCGCGAGATTCGAACCCAAAACCTATCAGCCTCACGCGCGAGCGCTTAACCTCTAACCCACTAAGCCGGCATCCAACGGCGTCAATGTCTAACTTCAACGAATTCACGAAATTGCGCTACCATCCACTATTGTCTTAAGTGAATTACTATCTCACAATAGACCTGGTTGGACTCCACTGGTAACGGCTTCTCACTAGAACTCCAGGAAATGCCTCTTGAAGTCAGTCACTAGTGAGCAGAGGATTATTATCAGAAGTGGTTTTGTGAACGAAACGGCCGTCCAGTGCATCCAGGTTTTCCATGGTGGTCTAGCTTCAACTGACTCATGATTTCAACTATATTCAAATTATCTTTAGGATCTAATAAGTAGCATACTTTGGGAAATAAACCTTGGCGGGTTGGTGTTTGATGAAATATTGGCACTGATAAAAATTTCAACTAACTTTGGTCAACTTACATCATTTGTGACGTACGTGGGAAGATTATTTACCAACCAAAGGACGAGTATATTGAATAGTAGTTCATCTCATTCTACATTAGTGTTGGCCTTAAAAATATACTATAATTATAGGTTACAAGAATCGGATTATAGTTGGGTTAAAATTGTTTCTGCAGTATATGGGGACTAATGAATAAGTAACACTGAAGTTATAAGCAAGCAATTAATTAATGAGGCTGTGAATCGTCATCAACTGAATGAGGTGGTTAGGACATGAATTAAGTGTGCTAAATCACTGCTTAACCTGACGGCAAATATCTGCCGGCGTAGAAGTAGTATGAGATAAAGTTAGGAACAGTCAAATTAAGACATAACATCACTTGATAAAGTCATTGATTGATAAGATGACCTATGCACGTAAGTGTAGTAGAATGCCTGTTTAAGGTCCGAGTGATAACCACGATCACTGGTCAGAGAAATTAACATGGGACAGAATTGGTCACTGTAACATACATGCATCCGTTCATTGTCTATTCTTAGATCCTGAGTTTAAAAATTGCCTTTCACTTTTTATAACTAAGATTTATTCTTTTTTCTTGGACTATATTACTTATGCTAAGTTTTTGCTTGTATTACTAATACTACTGATACAAATACTACTTTTTCTACTCTAGCATTTCTTATGATAATTTCAATGATATTTCGTCGATTGTATCTACACTCCATTAACTGCTTTTACACTATACAAATATCACTCAGGCATTAGTTCAAAATTTGAGGTAAAAATGTACTAGCTACGACGTAGTGTGCATTTTCAAAAACGTGTCAGTTGTTAAGAATATTGTAGATAACTTTGATAATTAAGAGAATAAAGTATAAGATACAAGTATTTATAAATAGTTGTCTACGCAAGATACTCAAAATTGTTTTGCCGGATACCATTAGTAACAGTCTACTGTTTGAGAGAACAAACCAGCTGCCAGCTAAAGAGAAAATTAGGAAAAGACGATGGAAATGGATAGGATATACATTACGGAAATCACTAAACTGCATCACGAGGCAAGTCCTAACTTGGAATCTTGGAGGGAAGTGGAAAGGAGGAAGCCCAAAGAACATATTACGTCGGGAAACAGAAGCAGTTATAAAAAGGATGAATAACAAATGGAAAGAGCTGGAAAGGATTGCCCAGGATAGGGTTGAATGAAGAGTGCTAGTGGATGGCCTATACTCCTCCACGAGGACTAACAGACATAAGTAAGTCAATAAAAGATTTCGACCAATCTCAAAGACGTAAACCACAGAGATGTAAAGCAATCATATTCATACGAACATAAACACCTCATTAATAATAAATTAAACATCTACTGGATTACTTACTTGAGAAAACCAACTAATTAGAGAATAATAAAAAGACACTTCATAAACACAATTTGGATCCAAATAGAAATCAATAAATGAAGGAGATTCTTTTAAATAATTTGAAAAGGATATCGATGATATTGGAAGTTGAAAAGATATTTCTGTTTTGTCATTTCTATAAAGAAAGAAAGAAAAAAAATCATTTAAATTGATAAAATGAAAAGTGACTATTATATCCTGGTGAGCATAATGAATGGTGGTAATTGTTGGGATCTATTTCTGGACTAATACTATACATATATTCTTATTGTATAATTGTTAAGTAACTAAATTATTCATATTCATATTCCTCTTATTATAAGCTTTATTTTGACCCATAGATGATTTTTATACGATTTACCATTCCTAAGTTATGCCCAGTCTACCACATTCACAATCACTTTTGGTTAAATCTTGTACAAATGCTGTTTCGTAATTTATGGTACGATGTGGTCTGTCTGGTTAGTATATGAACCTAGTATGATTGAAATACATGATTCATATCGAGAAGGCTGAAATTGGTGTTCTGGTCTCTAACAGGCAGGGCTAGACAGGAAGAAGGACCAATAAGGACTGTAGACTGCTCGTACAGGTTTATGCGTCATTTGTCCGGTCGATAAATCACTGTTTCTCTAATTGGCGGCATCATTATGTTATATATTAATAGATCACAAAGCCACAAGTTATAACAAATATGCTAACGAGAATCAATCAACAATAAACCTAGTTTGGTTAGGGTCTCCTGTTGACTACCTTTAGTACACCTCAATCCTGTGGCGCGACCACATAGGTACCAAGCACCGTAGTGGACCATTCACACACTGATTACCGTAAGTTAACCAATCAGAATGAAGACGACACCTCATATATTTTGCGTGAAATTTAAAGTGCAATGATAGATAATGTATATGTTATTATTGACAAAGTGAAAATTGTCATTATTTGATTCTTAAAATGCTTGAAGTTATTTAGAAGATATATTATCCTACCATAGAGTAAATTTAAGATAGTTCCTAAAACTCAATTACAAAACATATTCGCTCTTAAGGTGGATTATGCGTACAAGTATTTGATGTGATTCAGTACATAGTTTAATGAAGCTAGATAGTAGTCTTCAATACTAACTTAGTAGTTACTAGCTTAAGAAAGATCGGTTTCTGACCAATCGGCGATCTCATTACGTTCCTATTCAATATATATACATATTTCTTCAAAAAACCTTCAAGGTAACCCGTTTTAATCAACATATTATGAATAAACTCTAGTTCATTGTTTATGATATCATCCTAGTTCTATTTGAAAGGCGCTCAACCAGATTTTGCTTATAACAAATGAATCCAAATCTAAAAACAAATGTTCATATTACCATGTGGTTGAACTTTTTTTTAATATGCCCTTTATCACCAGACTTATCTGCTCCTTTGTTTAAGAAATCATAAAGGAAATATAATTTGTTCTGAAGCTCTTCCTAACAAGTAAATTTAATTGTCAAATGTTTACTGATAAATTATTTCAAGAATTTTTATTCATCAATATTCTAAACGACGATAATGAAATTAGTGTTATTTTTGCTTGTACCTTCGAGTTCCGGAGTGAACATCAACTCTAGGATGCAGGTACATCTACCTGACGAGTTCTAAACAGGACAAAACGTGCGTCCTGGATTCCACTGCTAGCCACTATCCATCCTTGTTTATAAAGCTTGTGACTTTATCGAAGCAATTCGCACAGGATGCACGCAGGTCAATAAGAGACTGATCAATTGCAGTCCTAAACATCAATGGGAAGATACAAGCAAAAACAACACCAAGTGAATTTGAACTTCAACCAATTGCACAAGCAGGTGGCTATCACGACTCAGTAGTTAAGTGGATAACCCGATGGTGTTTGAAGTGAACGGTACTGCGTTCGACTCCCGGAATGAACGCCAACCCTGGGATGCAGGTACATCCAGCTGACGATTCCCAAATAGAAAACGCGCGTCGTGAATTCCAGTGCTATCCAGTATCCATATTTGTTTAATAAGATCATTGTTTTCATAAATGAGACAGAACTGTGTCTTTTATCATATTTTAGTTAATATTACAATTTGGTCTAAACAATCTCTACTAAATAGTTCATCTTCCTGTTAAAACAATCAGTATAAATCATTAACAATCAATTCATTATTGAGTAGTATGGATAATGTGTATATCAAGTTTTTTCTGTTTAGTGCTGATCAAATTCTATCAATCCAGTTGCAATGTGACCATCTGACTATGAAACTGGGTGACATGAGATTAAATTCATCAGGAAGTAGCAATTCGGTCAAGATGACAAATGTAACTTCACTAAGAAGTTCCAAATACCACGAACACTAGGTCAAACTGGGTTTTCTGTCGACTATCTTCAACCACTACCTTACAGAGTAAATCACTCGACCATTTTGCATAGATTGACAAGTTCTTGGTAATCAGATAAAAGATGATATCTCATTCTTTCTGTAATGTATTGAGATATAAAGTATTAAAGATGAAACTTCATTTTTTTAATCAATTGAAGGTGTTCAGTGAAACCTATTCTCATCATATTGATTGTGATGATCACTATTGTGATAAAACCATCGATATACTTTTCGACACCAAACTATAGTCAGATTCCTTGAACTTAAGATAGAGTTTGACTCTGTTGATCGAGAGCTGTGTTTATTTATTTATTTGAACATATAAATATTGATACAAATGTGCACCGAATACATATGCACCATACAATTCACATGATCTGTGTGTGGGCTGTGATACTGCCCGAGTGCCCAGACCGAAGCAGAGATTTGAAGTGACAACGTCCATCATTAATGAACATACAAAAGAAGTATGACAACCTTGTATTAGCTCTCTAATTGAACATTACTGATAGAGTTAGAGCCTACGTTGAACTGTTATTACATATGTTAACCAAAAACGATGTTCGTCAGAAAGAACTGTCTAGTTGTTGCATTTTGTGGACATTTTGTTACATATAACAATCTCATCGTTTAACTTTCCAAATGTTGATCTCCTATCTACTTGGTAGCTTAGAATACACAGATAATTTAAGATCGCAATATAAACTGCTATTTAAAATTCGACACGTTTATCAATACAGTTTACTTTTACTGTAAAATCATCATCTCTTATCCATTTTTTTTCATGTGAATCAAAATCAAAAAGAACACTCATAGTATTGGATTAAAATAATTGATCGACTTTTACCAGACGTTTCTGCTAATGAAGTTGTTCAGAAGAAGAATAATGAAAACTCTACGACTAAATCATCTAACTCAAAGAATAAAATCTCATTAAAATCATCCATCTATGCTAAAAAAAATCTCCACTGATAACTTCTTTCATATAGAAGAAACAATAAATATAAAATAATGAAAATAGAATTGGAAAAGTTATTCGTTGGTGAGATCCAGAATACTCCTCGAAGAAAAACTCAAGAAAGGCTCTGAAAACATTGAGAAGTATCTTATTCAATCAGCGTTGACTAGAAGTTTTGCCAGAACTATCTAAAAAAATGAAAAATACTATGTCGTGTTTCTGATTGAATGATTACTTATACTGCTTACTATGTTTAGTAGCATTCCAGAATTTTCAGGAAACCCAAGGATATCTAAAATACTATAAAAACCGTATATTCACTTGGCATTGTTTGGCTTATATCTTCCCATCGAGGTTTAAGACTGCTATTGACATATGTGCATACTGTGCGTATACCTCGATATTGCCTTAATTCACAAGCTGAGTGGATAACGCGATGGCGTTTGAGGCGAATGGTACTGGGTTCGAGTCGCAGAGTGAACATCAACTCTGAGATGCAGGTACATCCAGCTGACGAGTCCCAAATGGGAAGAAACGCGCGTCCTGGATTCCACTGTTAGCCACTATCCATCATTGCTTAAAAAAACCCTATATTTCCTGAATTAAAACGAACCTTTGGAGTAAAGTGTTTCTTACATATTTCACACCTTTTCTCTTATGTTCAAGTCACTGTATAGATTTTAGCTTGAGGGTTATTAAAAGCGCTTAGGAACCAAATCTAGAGTTCAATTAGTAAAACTTATTAAATTTCTTCTTTTAACTTACTCAATTGTAACATAATGAAAATAATTACACCAAATTGTATTCAAAGTAACCATTCCCATAAATCCTATTACATTTTTAAAGATAAATATAAATATAAATGAATAAAATATTATATCCCTAATAGTAATAAAATAGTAATATCAATTTCGATTAGTAACTACTGTGTATAGATCAATATGAAAAATGCATCAAATCGATTGATTAATTTCAGGCTTCTTGATGTTAATTGAGATCTGTGGATTCTTATTTAACGTAATGAAATCAGTCAGAGAGTGAATATGATATGGCAATGAAACATGGCCCGTAAGATTAGAGGATATTCGTAGGTTACTAGTATTCGATCATAGGTGTCTTCGAAGCATTGCTCTTATATCCTGGGACCATCGAGTAAGTAATGAAGTTGTTAGGAAACGAGTACTAAGTAAGGATGGAAAATCAATTGATGAAGTAGTGAAACCGATGGTTAGAGACCTTGAATGACATGGCTCAAAATTGTTTGCAATGGCGCAGGTGCATCTACTCTTTGTGTACACCCAAATTCTAATCTTCTGAATTCTTCATGTCCCTTTTTTTCTCTTTCCAAATTTATTTCACTGTATTATACTCCTTGAATAACATCTTCAAACCCTAATGTTTCCGATTACTGCTTATAGTTTTGCTACCTCTACCACTACGGGATTTGAATAGACAATTGCATCTCTGTGCTAATATGGTATGGCAACTCAAACTGATGTAAGTACGTACGAATTTTGACGTTGTTGCTGAGTGACTGTACATGATAGAAGATTGTGATTTATCTAAGTATAATGTTCTGAATAGGCGATTTTTGAGTACTGATGGTTTCATCTAACCAACTCTATATTCATTTATCAATTTGTATCAGAAGGGAGTTTTGAGGATATTATAGAAAATTTAATAGTTGAGATCATGAGCCGATTGAAAGTAGACCACCATGGAAAACCTGGAAGCACTGGACCGTCGTTTCGTCCCACTGTGGGACTCCTCAGCAGTGTGCATCCACGATCCCGATTCACAAGATTCGAACCCAAGGCCTATCGGTTTCGCGCACGAACGTTTAACCTCTAGACCACTGAGCCGGCATTCAGGTTTTCCATAGTGATCTAGTATCAGTTGATTCATGATATCAGATATTGAAATTTATCAATTTACCTACTCATGTAAAGCCAGGTATATAGGTCATTCAATAAATACTTTATTCAAAAGAATTCAAGAAGATTCAATAAGAAGCTCAATAATCAAAGACCTTGTGAACACAGGTCACTTAATAAGAGCGGACTCTGAGTTCAAAGTCATCTACAAGGTAAATGTACAAGGTTGCCAAAGGCAGTTATTTTAAATCTTCTATACATTACCGAACTAATAGCTCGACATCTAGAGAAATCAGAATTATGTGTTCAAAAGAAATTGGTACAACATCTTCTTTTACTATGATCCTAATGTTTCATAACTTTCTTTCTTCTTCATACTTCCTTTACAACGATATTCTTCGCCTTTTATCTTCTCTCAGTCAGTCAGCTACAACGTAGGACCAGGCACATATGTGCATCGGTCCAGGTTGCCATACCGCATCAGCACAACAAGATGAACACCGGATTCACAGCAGTGGTTAGGTCAAAGGTGGTAATATATAAGAGAAAGATTGCATATAGAGATATAGTACAAGAAGAAAGAATTGGTTCGTAGAAAGAAAGATATGAAGCGATTTTAATCTCTTAGTTTAAGGGAAGACAGGGAGTGTATACACCGACGCCATTGTGATCGATTTTGAGCCATGTCACCAAGAGTCTCCAACCATTGGTTACGATAGTCACGCGTACCCCAACCAAGTAGTCTGCATCTACCAACATGGCTCAGACTAGAGGTTAGTGACTTCAAGCACTGATGCCACGTTTTGGTTTGGCCGCCCCTAACTTTCTCCCAACCATCTCCAATAGCGGATAGCATTGCACGTCGTGGTAATCGGTGTTCAGGCATACGTAACACGTGGCCCAACCATCTCAGTCGATGAAGATTCACAACCTCATCAACTGATTTACCATCATTTCCTAATACCCTGCGTCTAACTTCACTATTACTTACCCGGTGATCCCAGTAGATGCCAGCAATATTTCTGAGGCATCTGTGGTCAAATACTAATAGCTTACGAGTGTCTTCTACTCTTAATGGCCATGTTTCGCTGCCGTAAATTAAAACAGAACGGACTGCCACGCAGTATAGTCGTCCTTTTATTGATAGACGGATATCTCGCCTTCGCCATAGGTGATGCAAGTTGGCAAAAGCCAAGCGAGCTTTTCGAATCCGTGCTGAGATTTCGTCAGACACCAACCCTCGACTGGATAATTTCTATTTCGATGATCCTCCTAATTACATTTCATCTCAATTTCAATATTTTATTTTATCATACTGACCTTTCACACCCCAGTTTTAATTTCCTGATTCTCTCATGATGAATATTCAAGCCCTTAACAATAAAAGTATTATTAGTTTCCTTGATAAGGAAATAACGTTTTAATACCTTTGTTTACTCTACTTAACTAATAGTCGAAACTAGAATACTTGGAACCATCAGTTTTTATAATTTTTTTACTGGACAAACTGTGCATTATTCATATCCGATATCGTTTTATTCATTTATTTAATGTCCAAATATTTCTGAAAATACTCTTTAGAATTTCGACAAATTTTTAACAAAAACACTATGGGCAAATAATTATTTTGATAATTTATATCACAAACTAATTTAAGCCAGATCTCCACCGACAATCTCCCGACCGTTGTTGCTACCTTGACGTGGTGGTCGGGCTTGCCTATCGTGATGAAGCAACCGAGCTATACTGGCTGGAACAACCGTTCCTCAAGGTCCTACCATGTCAGACAGGTCGGTTGAAGAGCGGTAAGACTAAAAGCAACAAACCCAAGGTCCGAAGGCGAAGTCGTACTGCTGACTGTACAGAGGTGTGACAGCAGTAAGGTGTTTCCTTCAGACAACCAGCATGACAGCGATGCTGCCTTCCCACAAGGAGGGGTGGGGTTAGAAAAGGTCGACCCTAAAAATCCACACCTCACCTTACCTCACGGATTTCCGTCTCCGGCGGTAAGGCCCTTTGAAGAACGGAGCTAACACGTCAAAAACCTCCCACGAAAAGGCCGTGTGCGACCGGCCTCAAGCAGTTGTCCCTTGGGCACTGCGGTCACGCTCTCAGGTCACTGAGACCGCCTCTAATCCAATTTCCTTTTCAGGTACCTCCAGAAGAACCCTTCCTCGGTGTGGGCAACCGGGGAGTGATAACCGCCTTCATACCTCTAACAGCACTCGAGACCACTGTATTCATAATCAACCTTCCTCTTCAATTCCTATTATTCCTCCTACATCGACTTTCCACTCTAAACTTCCTCTTTCGGCTTCCTCTTCAAGTGTCACCATAGCCAACGATTCTAGTGCTCAAAACTCTGTCCCAGGTCTACTGAAACCTCGCTCCAAACTACACATTGGAGCTTTCAACGTACGCACTCTATGTCAAATCGGTCAGCAGGCTTCCTTGGCTAAAACCCTAGAGTCTCTTTCCATTGATGTATGCTGTGTCTCCGAAACACGCATACAGGATTCCAGTGTGGTCATTCACTTGACCTCACCTCGGCAAAACGGTGAGCCAACGAGATACACACTCCGTGTATCTGGTGACCCGATGGCCAGTTCTCGTGGACTGGCAGGTGTAGGCATAGCACTGAGCATGAGGGCGGAACAAGCACTGCTAGAGTGGATACCCGTCAACAGTCGTCTATGTGCTGTTCGGTTAAACGGCTCCGTAAGAACTCGGAAGGATAGGGATACACGTCGTTTCTGCCACGCTCCCACAGACTGCAGCTCAGATGATGTGAAAGATGAATTTTACAGAAAGCTTTCTGAAATTTTTCAGAAAGCTAAACGCTCAGACATAGTACTCGTAGGGGGTGACTTTAATGCTCAGATAGGTAGCTTAAACCAAACAGAAAGGCATTTAGGTGGATATTTTAGCATTCCAGCACAGCGAACAGATAATGGTGACCGTCTGCTGCAACTGTGCTCAGACAATCGCTTATTTTTAGCAAACACAAATTTTAAGCATAAGGAGAGACATCGTCTAACGTGGCGACCGCCTGCACCAAGCCAACGATGGACTCAAATAGACCATATTGCCATCAGTCATCGTTGGAGAGGATCGGTACAAGATTGTCGCTCATTCTGGAGTACCTGCTTGGACTCCGACCACGCCCTAATATGGGCACGCATCTGCTTGCGCCTCACTGGACGCAAAAAAGCCACAGTAAAAAGACCCATTAGAACCGAACTGAGTAGCGAGGAAACCAAAAGTAGGTTCCAGGAACAACTGAGGTCACGATTAGGTAGTTCTGAAAACGAGGTTGACCCAGTTGTTGCTTGGAAAGCCATACAAACAGCTGTGGAAACAGCAGTGACATCTATCAGTGATTTAAACCAAAGGGTTACAAAGAACCAATGGATTTCTTCAAAGTCTATCACACTGATGGATTCTCGCAAACTCGTCCCATCAGGTTCCGAACATGATGAAGAGCGACAACAAATCAGATCTAGGTTAAGAAAAAGTCTAAGAAACGACCGTGAGCAGTGGTGGCTTTTGCCAACTTGCGTCACCTTTGGCGAAGGCGAGATATCCGTCTATCAATAAAAGGACGACTACACTGCGTGGCAGTCCGTTCTGTTTTAATTTACGGCAGCGAAACATGGCCATTAAGAGTAGAAGACACTCGTAAGCTATTAGTATTTGACCACAGATGCCTCAGAAATATTGCTGGCGTCTGCTGGGACCACCGGGTAAGTAATAGTGAGGTTAGACGCAGGGTATTAGGTAATGATGGTAAATCAGTTGATGAGGTTGTGAATCTTCATCGACTGAGATGGTTGGGCCACGTGTTACGTATGCCTGAACACCGATTACCACGACGTGCAATGCTATCCGCTATTGGAGATGGTTGGGAGAAAGTTAGGGGCGGCCAAACCAAAACGTGGCATCAGTGCTTGAAGTCACTAACCTCTAGTCTGAGCCATGTTGGTAGATGCAGACTACTTGGTTGGGGTCCGCGTGACTATCGTAACCAATGGTTGGAGACTCTTGGTGACATGGCTCAGAATCGTTCACAATGGCGTCGGTGTATGCTCTCCCTGTCTTCCCTTAAACTAAGAGATTAAAATCGCTTTATATCTTTCTTTCTACGAACCAATTTTTTCTTCTTGTACTATATCTCTATATGCAATCTTTCTCTTATATATTACCACCTTTGACCTAACCACTGCTATGAATCCGGTGTTCATCTTGTTGTGCTGATGCGGTATGGCAACCTGGACCGATGCACATATGTGCCTGGTCCTACGTTGTAGCTGACTGACTGACTGACCGACAATCTAGGAGCAATGAACGACCTTTCTGTCCTGGTATTGGACCCCATAGAAGTGCATGTCTACGATCGCACACCCTTTAATCGGAACTGGAATCTTCATTCTCGGGCGTACACGCTTTACTCTCTGGATCATCTAGTCGGAATCCAGCGATGCACACAGAAAACTTCAATCAATGAATGATTTTGCATAACCCTCATCCGTTGACTGCGGCGGATAGCCATCTCACATACGACATGACTGAACATCACTGATCATGGCTTCTCACTAGACGTAAAGGAGTTTCATCTTGAAACTATTCATGATATTAAATTGATTGAAGTTAGACCAATATATATATATTTTATTAGGCCCAAGCTAAGTGGTCTTGAATCTAAGCTCAAGCGAATGAGATTGAAAATCTTGGGTTCTGTACCTGAATGCAGTGACATGAGTTTGCACTCCTGAGGAGTTTATTTATTTATTTATTTCAACACATAGATCTTGTTACAAAGAGGCACCAAATATATATGCGCCACACATCTCATTTGATATGTGTGAGGGCTGTGATACTACCCGGGTGCCCAAACCGAAACAGATGGTTTTCTTAGGGGCCACACCCCGAGCCTTCGACCTGAAGGTCTGATCCACAAGGCAGTGGAGCATCGTAAGGAGATGCAGTCCCATGGAAGCCAGTGACCAACGATTGGTCCATACGCCATTTGTTCCCACAGGATACTGTAGCCCATGTGCACCATTTGTTTGGAATCCGGTTAAAGCGCCGAACATTCGCTTTCCGTCCTCTCATTTTCGTAAACAACACCCGTGGTGCGAGAAGGCAATGAGTAGGACTTCCCTGACAGAGGCTATATACGCGTGGCCATGTGAGAGCATTTGGAGAGAGAGAGCGGACTCTCCCCACTCTCGGCCGTACCAGGGCATTTGGGACTCCTGAGGAAACCCCTGATAGAATCAAACAACCATCCAGTGCTTCCAGATTTAAACAATATAAAAATTATACAATCTCCACAAACCCTTCTATGCTAAAAATACTATTTTTATAAAACAAAAAAAAGACTTACTTTTATCAGCAGAACAATTTGTTCGTTTAATCAATAAATTTGGTCCAATTGTAGATGAGCTTAGATAATAATTTTTATTCGGTAAATAAAAACGATGAAATATTCCTGTTATATTAGGATTGAAAGTTATTATGGAATTTTCACCAAAATAGGATGATATACTCGGATAATATGGTAGATTTGAATGAATTCGTTCAGTAGCATTATCGAATGTATCAAACAAGATTGTCATCTATAAATGCGTAGAAAAGAAATGTAAGAAGTTGTGGGATAAAACTAGAATCAACATTTAGTTACCATTGTAAATAATAACACTTTTCAGTGGAGATTATTATGTTTTCGATTGAGATCATGAACCGACTGATGTTAAACCACCATTGAAAACCCGAAAGCACTGGATGGCCGTTTGGTCCTAATGTACGACTCCTGAGCAGTGCGTATCCACGATCCTGCTCGCAGGGTTAGAACCCAGGACCTACTGGTCTCGCACGCGAACGCTTAACCTCTAGACCACTGAGTCGGCATCCAACTGTGTTAATGTCTAACCTCAACCAATCCACAAAATTGCACGACCATCTTCCATAGTACTGAGGTAGATACTTGTCTCTACCCGACGCAGATGATACTACTAGATACATAGACAGATGTGAACGTATATTTGACTGCTATTTAACATCAACTGAATTTTAAAGTATCTCAGTAGTGGGTATTTAAAATCTATCAGTACCCCGAACTGATGATATTCTTGTTATGAGTAGGATATACAATCTCAAGTGACTAAGTGGTAAAGGGTTTTTTAGCTCTGATAGTATAAGTAAGCATTGTTGAATGATGTATAGAATGTTAGCGGAATCTTGGTGAATAAACTAACCAACATAAAACGCACAACACTATAAACCAAGTATTGCTCGGATAAACATTCGAAATCAAGTTATAAGAAAAAGCTACAGATACAAAGTATACTACTTATTAGAAAAATAGTAACATATTCTATCTGTACAACATCAAACATTTTATTTAGACTATTCATTATCATCTAAATCAAAAGGTAAGTTAATAATCCTTTCCGCTTTTTCTAATCCTACAACTTACATTTAACTAGTTAAATTATTTTTTTCAGTTCTGAAGTCATCTTTTCGTCGTTACGTAACCGCTCACTGATCGAGTGAATTTGTTAGGAAAATTCAATACCTTATCGTATGTGTTAAATAATATTTAAAGAGCGTTAGGTAACGATTTCTCAATAGAATAGATAGGCTATAGTTAGTAGTGGAATCCATTAAATTCAGGACTTAAATCTAATACCTCTTGCATTTAACTCAAACACATTATCTACTGAGTTAATTCAATCAATGAAACAACAAAACTATTCGAAAAGTAAGGTGTTAATAAGAGTTTTCGATAGTCCAGACTGAATTTTTTTCAATCTTCATTGGCCTATGCGCACCATGTGTGTACTGAATTGATACAGATAACAAACTTGTTTAACTAATACTTATTAGTTTATATATTGGAAAAAAAGATAGTTGTCTAATAACTGGTAATACCATTTTAGTCAGTATTGTAAACAATTAGTGTACAACTTGATGAGATAAACAACTTTTCTAAACAAGTGTCAATACTCCATATCCATCAAATGATTGGTTAGTGAATCTTTGCTATGCACAAATATGATCATTGAGAGAATAATTTTTTCCACTGTATAACTTTTTAATGCATTGCAGTTTTTAATAAACGCGATTACGTCTGCTATCATGATATAGTCATCGGACTATATTGACCAGGACATTCAATTCTTTTGATCATACCATGTTAATCTAGTTGGTAGGGTAACGATAGAGCCTTAAGCTGAAAATATAAAACTATGAAGTCAGTAACATATTTCCCATGGACAATATGCATCTGTAGAAATGGTGGTCGAGGAGATTAACCTTTAAAATAGTAAACATCACCTTTCGTTTAAAATTCGATCGTCGACGGCTAAGCTTTAAGATAACGAAGCTAACTCAACTAAATCGTGTGTGATAGGCCACAAACAGTTATTTGATAGGACACTGATATGACACTCATAGATCATCAAGATCACTCGTAAACAATTTTCTTATTCAAGTACCTTAAGAAGTATCCTTTCACTATGTAGGAGACCGGAGAATAAAAACCATTTTCATAACTCTAAAAATATTTGAGATTACCATGAGTAAAATTTACAAATATTGCATCAAAATACGCAATATACATATACTGGTTGACTACTGAGATATACGCAAAAAATGTAGCCTTCAAATTGTCCAGTGTTATAAAGTTTAAAAAAAACTTCGCCTGGAGACCCTCTGTGGCTACTGCCGGTCCCCAAGCCCGGATAAATGAGGAGGATTGGGTATGACTTTAACGACCCCATCCCGTAGAAAACTAACTCAGCAAAAATGATTCAAATTATAAAGTTAAAAAAAGATTGAGATCAAATGGATCATGCCTTAAATAATTTGTAAAAAAATTTTCTAATTAACAGAGATTGGAAGGTTAACATAAAATGTAGGGTTCACAAATATACCATTTATTAAGGTTGATGGGTTACAATCATTCGAGTAATGTACAAATACTATGAATTATAGAAGAGATGTTATATATCATGGTTACAGTTATAATGATAATCACACCCTGAAATTTCTCATCAACGGGGGAGGGGTAAGTCACAAGCGCCTATCGGCCTCGCACGTAAATGATTAACCTCTAGACTACTGAACCCACATCCAATGGTGTTAATATCTAACTTCAACCAATTTACGAATAATATATATATATATATATATATATATATATATATATATATATCATTAAATGAAAACTGAGGAAAAACTGATTACTGTTTTTACTAGTTGATAATAATGATTACTGAACTAGGAAATGTAATAAAATGTTTATTGAACAAGTAATAAGCTGATTTACATTGTAGTATTTCTGTGATTTATTTGAACACAGTTATGCGAGTGTAAACGTATCATATAAATCATCATGATAAGATAATGAATAAGGTATGTGATAGTTATGCTTATTTATTTATTTGAACACATGAATATTGGTACAAGAGAGCGCCAATATATATGCGCCACACAAAACAATGAGAATTCGGAGAGAAATAGAAAAAAAAAGCCAAGGAGCGCAAAAAAAAAGAACAATAACGAGGAGATTGGTGTAAGGTAGTATGGTAGAAATGAGGGAACGGAAAGGTACAATCAGAAGAAATCTTTCAGGTAAAGGAGACACAACTACTTTTTTAAATGAAGAAAGTAAAAGAAGATTACAGCGGGATCGCCACTGGCTTCTATTCTGAGCCATATCGGATAACGTCTCTAGCCACTGTGTAGCACCATCTCTCAGACCCCAACAAGGGGGTCGTGGAGGACCAACAGAAGCCAGTCCTTTGCAGCTTTCTTTCATACCACGACACCATGTCATGCACTGACCACCTCTCCGCTTTTTCCAACCAGTCCCAGCGTCGGCAAATAATGCAAAACGTGGAATTCTCTGGGACGACATTCGTAGAACATGTCCAAGTCACCGAAGTCGGTGTTTCAAGATGGTGACATCAATTGCATTGTCATCTCTGTGCCCGAACACACGATGCCGAACCTCTGCATTACTAACATGGTGTTGCCACTGGATGTCAGCAATCCTTCGGAGACAACGATGATCGAACACAGAGAGTCGTCTAACGTCCTCAACTCGGAGAGACCAGGTTTCACAAGCATAGAGCAAAACTGCTCTCACCGACGCGTTGTAGATCCGACATTTTACAGTCAGACTAACATCACGAAGGCGCCAAAGGTGGCACAGATTGGCATAAGCCGCTCTGGCTTTCACTATTCGTGCATTGATCTCATCACTCACACCCCCACCAGCACTTATGCAGCTACCCAGATAGTTATGCTAACCGTTAAGGATCGGTGAATGAACAAACTTTTACACTTTCCTAAATTAATAATAATAATAATAATAAACGTTAGATTGTAACTGAGTTATTTCGCTAATCTATTAAAAGTAAAAAATTGTTTCGAACTACACATTGTCCATTCTATGTAGTTAAGATGGTAAGAAAACTTCTCTATATATGCAGTAATATAAATCAATTATTGTGTTTGGTAAGTATGCGGTCAGTTTTTTGTTACGTAATATTAATGATAGCGAATGTTTTGTATGACGCCGTCTGATTAAAATCATTAACTTACTGAATGTCATTTGTAAATGGCATCGCAAACATTATTTATTTATAACGTTGAGATAGAAAGGTGGTTGGAGGTAGTCAACAGGAAACCCTGGACCCGAGTTTCGTGCTCTTTGGTACTCGTCAGCAAGATGAACCTGTTATCTTGAGGGAACTTCTGCACCCTGACGGATTCGATCCCGTGTCAACCAGCTCCACAGGTACACCTTGCTGACGAGTGCCAAGTAGCAAGAAACTCGGGTCCAGAGTTTCCAGTTGACTACCTTCAACCACCATTCTATCTAAACATAGTGCACGCAATGTCCAGTCACCTAGACTAGTGGCCACATTGCAACTTAGTCGATAACATTCGATCTGCACTAAGAAGGACCTGAAATTGATCACCACCGAGTGATTAATCAATTGTGAATTTATAACGTCTAGAATCATCGGTTTTCTTTTTTAAATATAATGAACGAACATTAAAAAATTCTATGTACATATTCGTAAGATTTGGGTACTTTTCAACAGTAAACCCGCAACAACTAAACGTTACAAAAGTGTTATTATTTTTGACAAGTCATTGAAATATTAGTTGTATTCAGTACAAATTTATAGGTCTATATCTGACGTAATAAGTTTTTATGTCGATTGTACTGTTAAATACTAATAAGGTCAATCGTATTAATTAACATTTAGCTATACCAACGTTTAAGATCAAAGAAGCCGCTTGCGGCTTCGCGAAACGTCCCACTTATAAGCACTGAGTTTCTTCAGGTTCCTTACAAATCATTGAAGCCCGTCGGTCTACTCCGGGTGACCGTGAGTTTGACCACAAACGAAGGATGTTACGTAGCGAAATTGGGAAAAGCTTGCGTAAGGACCGAGAAGCCTGGTGGTCGAAGCGTGCTAATGAGCTGGAAGCAGCAGCTGCATCTGGTAACTACCGGAAGCTCTTCCAGCTCATCCGTGCCACTGGCAGCAAGAAGTCTGGTGTGAGTGAAACAATCTGCGAGGATGATGGGATGCCA